TTTTTTTTTTTTTTTTTTGTGAAGTAGACGCGCGATAATCGGAATTCGTATTATCCAATTTCGCAATAATACCTTAATTATACATTTATTAAGAAATTATTCCATTTTGTATTTTAAATGTCCTACATATCAACATCTCGATTATATATCTATTAATAAATTAATATTGTATGATTTGATGATTTAATTAAATATTCAACGATTTACTGGATAACTCATATTAATTCGCAGTATCTTATTCATGTTACGTAATTTCCTGTTAAATTTTCTGCTGAATCTTCTTTATGTCAATACATTGGCCAACTAAACCTAAACCTAACCTAAACCCTAACTTCTTTATGTCAATACATTGGCCAACTAAACCTAAACCTAACCTAACTTCTTTATGTCAGTACATTGGCCAACTAAACATAAACTTAAACCTAACCTAAACCCAATCTAAACCTAAACCTAACCCAATATATTTATATCAATGGCCAACATATTTATGATTTAATAATTCATTAATAAATTACTGCATAATTACATTCATTCATACCTAAACCTAAAGCTAAACCTAATTAAACCTAACCTAACTTAACCCAACATATTTATATCAATGGCCAACATATTTATGATTTAATAATTCATTAATAAATTACTGCATAATTACATTCATTCATACCTAAACCTAACCTAACTTAACCCAACATATTTATATCAATGGCCAACATTTATGATTTAATAATTCATTAAAATTACTGGATAATTACATTCGTTCATAATTTATACTGTGTAACTTTACATTAGATTTCTTCTATATTTTGTATTAATTCATGTGCCATCCAATTATACGTAGTCATCTGCAAGGTTTATTAGATCTTTTGTCCTGTAGATAAATTAATTTATTCGTGTTATTATTGTTGATATCAACTTTCTTACGTCCGAGTTAACCGTGGATAAGAAGTGGGCAGCCACGTGTTCCGGAAGTATGTTGGCCAGCAGCTTTTGATTGTAAGCCTTGAGGTGCTCCATTTCTTCCTTCTCCTCCGTCGCTTGCAACTTCCACAAGAAATCCAATCTGCATTTGTCAACAAAAATGTCGCTTCATACTTTCCCCCAATTCGAGAAGAGACATAGATTGAAATGGAATTTCGACGTTTTTATTTTAACTTC